TTCAGTCAAGAATTAGTGTAAGATCCCAGAATTTAAAAAAAACCTTCAGTTATCATTATTCAAATAAATAATAGTTTGTTTCCATGACTATTATATCATACTTATATTCCGCACTAATTAATTTTTATCCTAAAGTAATCTACACGTGCCAACATTTGTTTTATGACAACTACCTTTCGACTAACTCACACATTTAGCACAAATTAACCCTTATATGATAGAGGTTTTAGTTGCATGCCCGTTAGTGGGGCGTTGCCATTGCATTGTCGACAATTAAGTCGCGCACTTAGTAAGGTTCAACGGTTTGTTTGCCATTAGTTTGGATGGCGTCGGCCGTGCACCATTCGACATACATCACAACGGCACCCTTTCACTAGCGAACACTAACTAACTAACCAGCGGCTTAGAAATATAAATAACTAAAGGCATATGGCCGCTGTAAGCGCATAAAGCACCAATTTTGATCCAGACTGCTTAGCGTGACCGGCGTGGCTGGCATGCACCGCGCATGACTCGATCGAAAGCCGAAGCCGCTGTGGCAGCATTTGGTCGGGGTAAAACACGGCGCACTTCTCTAATTAAGTATACTTAACGCAAAGTGCAACCCTCACTTGACGCGCACGCACACATACAAACACCGGCGAATAATAAAGTAAGCTAAAACAAAAGTAGATATACAAGTAAATATTGTATATATTTTTTATTAGTCTAAAAGGGTTCCACATGTTAGGGTATGTCGATTGTCTGTTGCTTTTGTTTTTGTAATATTTCAACAACTTGACATTTGGCACCCTTCATTGTTTTCATAAAAACGCTCTTTTGGCTTCTAATGAGTTTTCAACAATATTTATTGTTTATTCGAAACTAACACAACCTAATGTGATGCTTTTTATAGTGAGTGTACGGTGTGGTGGTTTCTCAGCATTGGTGAACCAACAACAGCGCCCAGCCTTTGAATTTATTAGACCCTACCAAAAGTGACTTATGTTGGCATCCCGAGAGTTTGAGAATCTACTTAATACTTGACCTAGTTATTTAAGCCAAACTGTCAGCAACAAGACAATGTCGTTGTTTGAGAAAAGCACAAGCTGTAAGAAAATACAGGTTACCCAAAATTTTATGTAACCCATTTTCTGGTAGCCAATTAATCTCAGCCAGTTAATCTCAGTTATGAAATATCTGATCGTGAGCCTACTACATGAGCTGAAAAATATTAGTTTTAACAACAATTTTTAATGAAAATAGAGCATTATTTTTCGACATCATCTTCATCTAGGGTAAAACATTTGTTGTAATAGTCCTCAAATATTTCAAAACTACAACCTACAAAATAAGAGTCTGTTTCCATCTTGATCTCCACGTTTCAGTGAAAACTGTTTTTTTTTTTTGTTTGCAACAAGCAAATTTTCGAGTTGGGAAGGAGAAAAGAGTCACTAGGAGACAAATTTAACGAACGCGATGGAGAGGTATAGTATGGTCACCCAGCAAAATGTCAAACATTTTCGCGAAGTTTTCTAGCGCCTTTGAAACCAATTACTTGAAAACGATTGAATGAAATAACATGAAACTTTTACATTATTCTAGCTAAGGTTAGTACTCTATGTCAAGGCTCGAGAACTTTGTGACGCGATCTCTCAGTGAAACCAAGGACTTTTCAACCCATGCACAACAAACTGACAACAGTCAATAATGAGCGGTAATTTTGAATTCCAGACGGAAGATGAAAGTATATGTGATATGGATAAACACTGTAGAACCCAAAATCAAGTATAAGCAAGAACATACTACAAAAGAAACCGATGAGTTTCGGAACAAGTTCAGCCCAAGAGCCGTACCGACTGTCCGTAGTAAACCTCGGTAGCTTGTCATTTTCTGTTCCATGTTTTTTTGTGTCTGAAATCTTACCTCGTAACTTATCTAATGTCGCCTCTGCGAAGGCAATGCCAATGTCCATTGTTTCTAATAATAAACTATCAGCTAGTACTACTTTTGGGCACATAAACAAAGGTAAACCAACTTAGTTATTGCAGAAAAACAAAACATAATGTTATACAATGCCTCATTATCGATTTATGAATTGATCCATAAAAGCGGCAACACTTGTTCATGACCTCTATTTGCGGCCAAACCAAGCGGTGAACAATTAACCATGAATAAATGCCAAACGATTATGCCACACAGTGCAGCATTTAACATTCAAATACACATACACACACATACATACATAGCCATATTTACGATTCACAAATGCAACAATTAGTTCTACGAAATTAACGAAACAGTTGCGGCGCTGCAATCGGAAGTAAAACGCAAAAAAGAGATGCAATAATTGGCGGAGCCGCAGCCAAATCACTCGCCGGTGCTGACTAAATGCCTACCTATCAGCAATATTTATTAGTGGTATAACGGTAAGCTTGTGATCTTGACCGCGATCTGTAAATGTTTGCACTTCAAAAGCCGAAACACCATGCGATAAACTCACAGTGGTAACAATGGGCCAAAAATAGAAAGAAAATTGCATATTCAATGAATGAATGTGCGCATTAGCTGCAATTATCAGTCGGCCAGCATCTGTGTTGCAGCAGCAGCAATAAAATTTTCGCGATTTACTTTTAAAAATTTTTCATTATATATAATATCTGTTGTTGTTGGGCAATGCAGCCATTCACGTAATTACATAATATTAGTTGGCGTTGTTGTATTACGATATTTTCATTGCGCCTCTGAGCGCAGATTATTTCGGAAATTATATGAATTAACGCACAGTTGGTAAGCAGCTGGAAAAATCGCTAAAAAGCGCCAGTGGCAACGCAAGTTTTTTTCGTTGGGTTGAAGCATTTTTCAAGATTATTTTGTAGAATAAAATGTCTAATGCAAAATTTTATACAATTAGGTAAACTAACCTAAAATGCTGCCGCTGAAAAATAGTTTATGCAAAACTTGAAACGGTATAAAAAACTTTGAAAATACTGCAAGCACAGCCAGCGCCCATCAAATCAATGCCAAAATCGCAATGAAAAGCATTAAAGAAACATTTGTGGCAACAATAAATTAGTATAAAAAAATATCCTGAGGGTGTCTTGGCTGAGAATATAAGCTTAGTAAGTTTCGTACGAATTCCTTTATATGTATACATGTGTATAAGTATATATATGCATATATATGCATGTACTTAAATGCAACCCTGTGAGAAAATCCTGTAATAAATCGAGTATTCATGTATTTTGTGTCCTTTTGACTCTTCTGTAGCCAGCTTTGTATACAGATTGACTTCAACAGTCGCTCTTCTTATTTGTTCAAGTTGTTTGGCAATACAGTGTGATATCAAACCACTCTTGTTGCCAAATATTTCTTTACATCTATCTTGATACAAGCAAATAAAAAGCAGAAAGCATAGTCCTCCAAGAGTGATCTTCTCAAAATTTAGAAGCAAAACGAAATCGGACATTGCAAATTTGACGAATACGGTGCATAAAACATCTAGCCCAATTCGAGTAATTTGGCCGTGAGGATGACGGAGGCTTAAGCCGATGCATTGTTATGCTAGAATAGCATTTATTTTTTCGTCAAAAAGAACCGTTTTTTACAACACATCAGTACATAATAAAGTCTTGAGACTGCCCTCCCACAAGTGTTCGATGTAAATCAAACCAAGCGAGTCCCAGAAAACGGTGAACATCTTTTCGATAGATAGCACAGTATTTGTTTTTTTCAGATCAGCTTCGCCGGCACAAGTCCACTGTTTCGACAGCTTGAAGTTCCACCTAGACGTGGCATCATATACTAAATATATTTTTGGTTCCGAGAAAGCATCTTTAATCGCTTTTTATACTAATGCAGTTTAGAGTTCTTGTTATGTAAATAGTTTGTGACCACTATTATTATTCAATTAGAAACCCTTAACTCATCTATAGTTTGAATAATTATGTATAGTTACTGAAACTGGATTCCGTCTAAATAACATTATATAATTTTGAAATTTAAAGATTAATTCTACTTACAGTGAAGGGTAAACCACAAGAAGATTTGCATCGGCTGTGTGTGATTTCTAAGTAAATTTTAAATAGGTATAAGACGATGAGAAAAAAATGTCGGTGAAATATATGCCGCTTAGCAATGAAAATGAGGTAGTTTTACAGAATAAAATAAATTTGGTGGAATTTGTAGGATCTCTATAAAGAACCAGCCGAAACAAGCATATGTGAAGGCCCTGATTCATGAGGTTTAGCAATTCAGAAGAAGTTGTTTTACAGTAGAAAATAAATGTGATTGGTTTGGATAGTTCTCTGTAAAGAACTCGCCGAACTGTATATATCATTTAGAGACCTCGATACTTAATATTGAAAGCACACTCTTGGCCACGAAGGAAAATGAAAAGTAATAATAAGTATGTGTGATAAAGTGTGTTGAGATCAATTTTAATTATATAAACCAATAAACTTGCCGGGTTTAATATTTAAAAGTCGCAGTATCAATCGGCTAACAACTCCAACTTCATTTAAAAAAGTTTCTCAGCGTACAATGTAGGAACAGAGAGTTTAAAGTATATCAGTGCTGCTTTTCCTAACAGGAAGCAAATAAAAGTAAAAAACCATTCGCATGGTTTTGGCATTACATAAAAAGTAAAAATGGCTGTTTAAAATTGAAAGAATGAATTTAGAATACACTATAAATTTGAGACTGGAGATAAACTCGCAATTTTGAATGCTCAACTACGAACCCTGCTATCAATTTAAAATTACAGTTTAGCTTCATAATGTGTATCACCACTAATTTTAATTCATAAGCAAAGCAATTTCTTTCCAAAATATTTTCAAACAAAATTTACATCGACATTTTTTATAACTGAATTTTCAGGAAACATATTATATATCAGATACAAGCTTACATATATTGGTATTTTTCGTTAACTAAAATGTTTGAATGTTTTCAAAATAATAGTTTACTATTAGCTACATATCAAAATTACAACACATAAATTTTCCAATTTTTCCACTTACCACATCGCACTTGCTCCTTTAGCCACAATATCCAGCAGTGATTTTCTGTACAATAAATTTTGAAGCCAAGTATCCTTCTCTTGGTCTCCGCCAACGCATGTGCTTGTTTACTCAGAGCATCAGCGTCTTGCGGTTTATACCAATGAGATGTTGTAATTTTGTTTTTGGATTTTTTTGCTTGTACTCTTAATATTAGCGCCTGCTAGCATTTATCTTCTATCCAATTGAATGGCATAATTTTCATTTTTTATGCTTTTCCACTATCTTGTTAGCAATCACATTTATTATTATTACCAATTTTTTCGCAAATCCATTCATATTTTTTATTGAATGCTGGTCACAATGTTTTGAGTTGGCGCATAATGGCTAACTGTTTACTATGTATATCTGGTGAGTACATGGAAAGAAAATATTTAAGGTGGAATATATATTTATTAATGCATATATAGTAAAGTTTTATATACTGACATTAAAAATAATAGTATATATAGTAGAACATAAACTGGCTTTAAAACAGTGCAGTTAATTTTGATGGGAGTTAATGGGTTAAAATTATATAGAATAATATTAGGCTTTCCAAGGATTCTTTGGAAGATCATTTAAAGATTGGGTCAAAAATAGCACGTTTTTTTTTTGTATAAATTTATTTGGAAGAAGTAAGATCTTAGTTTTCTCATTATCTTCAGGTTTCATTAGAACTGATTCGGTGGTTTAAGTTCGGAAAATTCAACAGAAAACTATTAAGAAACTTTCTGACCGAATTTGAGCAAACTAATTGATTGACATTAGTAAAGATACGGAAAATCTAAACTAGTCTTGAACTCATGTGCGCAACTCAGCTAACTTGAAATCTTTGTCGTGAAACTGAAAACGAGCTGATTGAACTTGGAAGGGTCTTAGTGAAGCATAGAATACCAAGCAAAGTCAAGTTCCTTAACCTCTTTTCGACAACATTACTTTTTGGTACAACATTACACTTGGGAAACCCATACGCGGTCGTCTTGAAAGTCTGCTGTCGGAAGATAAATCAAATCGCATATAAATAGCAACCAATATTTTGGGTTGTGGTTAATACTCGTAATGGCTCAGGGAATATATTAACTTAATTATCGATCCCCTTGAGTATGCTGTGACGTCTGCTATAAAAAATCAACATGATACTTGAATATCTCTCCAACAATCATCTAATTTCAGCAAAAATTAAAAAATAAATTCGCTCAGAGTAATTTTTCTGACTGCAGCCAACTAATCGCTTCAATAATGCAGCTTCATTTTCCGACTAGCGTCCGACTACCGATACAGTGTCACAGAGGTCAAGCCACTAACCAACCTCTCAGCTGTGCGTTCAATCGACCGAAGGCAAACGCTGGCCTCACAAATGCAACTGACGTTTGTTTAGCACCCACAATTTTTAATGATTATGATGAGTTTATTTTCTGCAACACTTTGAGCGTGTGCGTGTGAGGTGAGTCAAAGCGAGAGGCATTTGTTGGCAGTCGCTTCGAGATTTCGACTTCCCAATAGAGTTGATGTTTTTATTAACGGTTGCAAAATGCAATTTAACTGTCCGACACGCAGACGTTGGTGGGCAAGAAGTGTGAACGCACACACAATCGCACACATATTCGTGTTTTCATGGCGTATGTATGTAGGCGGACGGTCACACTCACCGCCTGTCTGACTAGCCCATACGCGCATTGGCCTAAGCAGCTTGTGGCTGGCTGTTGGCTGCAATTGCCTCTGCTGCAGTTTTGCGTAAAGTTTTATTTGAAAAATTGTCTATTGAATTTCTACCACGTTGCATGTGCCAACAATGCGAAATCGCAAGTGGCAAACATCCATGCTTAACCGTACATTTGTCGGCTTGCGGTAGCCCGAGGTGCAAACTATTTTTTCTTGGCAAAACAATGCAAAATGTGTTTATTAGTGGAGATTAAATTTAATTGTATAGTCATTAAGTTATTAAGAGTTTAATAATAGTAAATATTTATTTATCAATTTTGAGATTTTGTTGCAATAAATTCGTTGAATGATTGCTTTAAATGTGAAGGAGGATGTTTAAAAACAAATTACGTAATTTGTGACAGATATATCCGGAAACCCTACGCTTTTGTGGATTCTATTATCGTAAGAATCTGTGAATAAAATTTGGCTAGTCAGACAGACTTTAACTTTCAGCCATTTTACTTTAGAATAATAATTTTCTAGAGATCTACATAAGGTTCTGACGGCATAACACCTAATTCCTCTATGTTTTAAGTTTGGACCCAGTAGCCAATGAGTTCAAATTCCAAGTCGATTCCGGTTGCATAGACCCAACCGTAGTAGGAAAGCCAACAAAGGATTAAAGCCTATGTTTTCTTGACAGTTAATACTAAAACCATATACGTATCTTCCAGTCAGCACTTGGAAAATACGGGTATATACTATTTACACTAGCCCAAAAATTTTTTGTGAATTCTTACAAATCCCAATCCCAATCAATAATCCCCTTTCAAATTTTGTGCTTAAGCTTAAACAGCCGATAGATAAGTTATAGCTTTCTTTTCCTTATTGAAAATCTTTTTTTTTTGATAAGCGCATATGAAATAGTTTTGGTCTTCAGAGATATATAATATATGTGTACATAAAAAAGGAGAAATAGCATGCCGCGAAGACTATGAGCCCCGAGCTCTTTTGGCATCTTTAATGTCGACTACATTTCGCGTTCTCAAACTAAAAACCTAGAATTTTAAAATTTTTCGACTTTGTACATTCAGCCTTTTACCTTTGGGTATTTTATTTACCTTATTTTAGTTTCAGACTATTACCTACAAAAAAGAAAATATATACCAGAAGCATACAACGGCTTTTAGTACTGTTACTTGAATTTTTCCTCAAACTTTTTCTAGGCGGCTACCACGGCTTTACCTTTGGAAACTTATTCATTGCTTAGCTCAAACTGCTTTACGGAGCAGGGGTATGAATACGCATAGACAAGAGCACAAAGCGCTCCCTCCACCCTTTCTTTTTGTAAAAGTATTCACGTCGAGATCTCAATATGTGTTCAACGCATGATTTTAAACTCTGAACAGGGTCTATTAAGTTTGTCACGAAGTTTGTTACATCTAGAAAGCTACATTGGAGACCCTATACAGTATATATATAAGTCAATTTATCTATCTGTCTGTCCATATACCATATACGCGGTCTAATCTATCAGTTTTTGAGCTATCGATCTAAAATTTCGCACAAGTAATATTCTCTCCAAGAAGCTGCTCATGAAGAAGAAATGACGTTGCATATAGTCATTAACTTAAGACCTTCGATAAGTTGGATCTTCTATGGCTTCAAAGCTAAGATAGCTGAATAAATTAAATAGCTTCACATTTCTAAATCATTGGCTTATCTTCTAAATTCGCCCACTTAACTCCAACCAAGCGCCAGCCCACTAAGCCAACGAATTAGCAACGTCAGAGGAACGAAATCCCTGATAATTGAGTACACATATATAAATCACGGCATACACACACACACATACACAACATACATACATACATATGTGTAGATCGAAGGCTAACAACAATTGTTGTCATTTGCAGCCTCAAAATAGTTATCCTTTTAGCATTTTGATGCGTTTGAACCATTTTCAATAAAACAACAACGACTACTACACCGACAACAGCTGCCACCCGCAATTCCTCGGAAATCAGTGAATCGGACCGGTGCAACTATTCTTTCTCCATTTACGCATATTGTTATTGTTTTTGTTTTTGTCTTCTGCTGTTCTTCCGTTACTTGTCGATTGTGTGCTGTACTTGTATTATTAGTGTTTTGTTTGTTTTCGTAGTAGTGGCGTCAACGACACAAAAGTAATCAATATGCCACACTGACGCACACATACACATATATACGCACTTGCAGCGCAAACTGAAAATAGCTGGCAACTCCACCGCCACCATCACCACAGTTTGGTCTGTTGGAGTATGTAAATGGGGAAGGGGGTTGATTGCGCTGCATGTGGCATGCGGCATGCGACACGCCAGCGCATAAAGGACATGTGTCCAGCTGTTGATGCACAAACACATTTCACACCTACGCAGAGTCACACACACACATACCTACTTGTGTACATTATTTCACTTAACTTTGCTTCGGTTTGCAGGCTGCAGCTCGAAAGAGTTGTTGGCTGCTGGCGACCGTTGGTGCCAATGGGAATTCGATACTTTCGCGCTTGACTGGCGTTACTTTTGTTGTTATTGTTGTTGCTCATGAGTATTCCTCATAAATTGTTCTGCACTGTCTTAATTGTTGTCGTTAATTTCGTTGTGTTCTTCGTGCTCCGTCAGCCGAGAGATGCTGGCACACGACTGGCAGGCGCTCAGCCGCACTCCTTCACCGGACTTGCAACTCATTAATATGTCACATACCTATTATGTTGAACGTCAGTGCGTTTGTGTTTGTGTGAAGGTGTTCGAGCGACGGGGGTGAGTTAACATCACCTGTCCAGGGTGTAAATGTTAAGATTTTTTTTTTGTAATTTTGGAATTGGATTTTACAGTTGTCACATGCATACGCATATATGCTCACATTACCATAGAAACTGATGTGGCACGAATAATAATTTTATAAATATTCAGTTAAAAGCGCCAATTCCATCAATGAAGTGAATAATCTTTTTTGACATAAGTTTATTTCTAAATTTCGATTAATATACACTACAGAAATGGACTACGGAAAGTACTTAAAAAGGAACTTATCACCAACTCAAAGATTTTAGTAACATAAGTTAAATACTAAAACAATTTATTGGTAAGAAGAATTGGCGCTCAACTCAAATAAGAAATCTACACCCATATTGATCCATAGCAGAGTCTTTTTGCTCTACAAACTTAAATAAACTACAATCAAGTTATTTTTAATTACATTTCTTATCTACACAAATTTCTCAAAATTCCATTCTTCACTTCGCATCCCGTATGCCGCGTGCCCGAATCAAATCAAAAGTTCTCAATTCACTTAAATCCCTACACCTTATTTATTAACTTTGCCATTATGGCTTATCGCACTCATAACTTCGGGTGAGCCCGCAGCAAAACACCTACGCGACATACACGACAAGCAGCATCCTTTAATGGCGACCACCTGTATCACTTGTCACTCGCGCACGGCTTATCTGTGGCACATACGGTAAATCCGTTGCAGCTTAATTTCATCCATTAAATGTGAGCGCCCTTTGCCTGCTCAATCAGCGAGGCGCCCCTCTCGCTCCAACACTTCGCCAGCCAGCGACCGCTAGTGGGATACCATCAACTAATTATGCTGGCAACTGTATTTGATTAATTGCTGGCAAGTGTTGCACATGTGTTTGTGTCAAATTTGGCTTGGAGATTGTGAAAATGGCAACA